CGCTGCGGGCCTGCGCCCGCCTCTTCCCCGCGCTGCTGCGGCGCGGGGACCTGCTGGCCGGGCCCCTGCCCCCGGAGGACGCCCCGCTGCCGGGTCCGTGCCCCTCGGGCCGGGGTGGGACGTAGCTTCCCGGCTTCAGCCCCCTGCCCCACAAAGCCCTTGGCAGGGGCCCGAGGCTAAAAAGCCCCTGTGCTCGCTTTGCCCGCAGATGGCTGCAGCGCGGAGGAGCAGTACAAGATCTGGATGAGGCATCGCTACCACAGCTGCGTCCGCTGCTTGGCCGAGCTGACGGGCCACTCCTCCTTTGAGGTCAAGGTAAGCCACGGCCGGCTGCAAGATGACAGCGGGCAACGCTTTCCTCCGCTCCCCGAATGCCTTTGTGTAACCGCACGGGATGCCTTTGTGTAAAGCCACCGCGAGAGCCCCCTCGGCCAGTCCCAGCAAATCCAGCAGGTCTTTCTCTTGAAGACAGAAAGGTGCCTGGTTCCCTTCTTCCAAGAGAAAAACGGAGGACGTAAAGGTGTCGGGTTTTGCATCAACGGGACAACCGTGCTACCCTCTATGATGGGCCACCCCAATCAAGAGCAAATTAAAAAGGAAGATCCCCTTTTTAATCTCCCCTCTGCTTTCCATCCTTTCTGAGGATGAGGGAGTTGCCCTCAGAGATGTGGGGCGGAAAATTTGCCTGAGCGGAAAACGTGTCGGTGCTTTTTTTTTTCTGTGGGAAATCTTCCGTTTCTGAACGTTCATTGTTTCATCAGATTCATTCGTAACCATGCCTGGATGCCAGTGCAACCTTAGGCAAGCTGTGGCAGTTTCAAAGTTGTAATTGATTTCAGAGTTGGAATGCAGGTTTTTCAGGTGATTATCCCTAGGAAGCGTGTGAGGAAGCACACGTGTGTTTTATTTATGTGTAAACGGGAGGGTCATTACACTCGCATAATAATCCAAACCAAAAATCAAGTTATGAATTCACCTAATTGGCTGTGCAGGTCAAATCAAAACTAAAGCACGGCATATCATGCACAGTTCTTTGGGTGTGCTAAAATTAGTGTCAGTGATTTTCAGCACCTTCACTTCTTTTCTTAAACAAACAATGTAAGGGACGTACATGCTATTATGTGCTGTCTTTACATTTTTACAGTTATCCCGACCAAAATCATTTCTTTCCGCATAAAGCTTTGCATTTGTTTGAATACGACGTTTAAACCACATTAAGTGTGCTGCATTTAATTTTCTTCCTAATCAAATATTTCAGTTCAAATCCTTCAAAAAAGGGAGGAAGGAGGACCCAGGAAATTATAGGCCAGTTAGTCTTGCCTCGATCCTGGGCAAGCTTTTTGAGAGAATTATTCTGGCACATGTTCACGAGGGGCCAGCAGGGGAGATTATGCTTAGGGGCAACCAACACGGGTTCATTAGAGGCAGGTCCTGTCAGACCAACCTGGTGGCCTTCTACGACCAGGTCACCAAATCCTTAGATGCAGGGGTAGCAGTGGACATAGTCTTCCTGGACTTTCAGAAGGCCTTCAACACTGTCTCTCACCCCGTTCTCATTAAGAAACTGGGGGACTG